GAGAAAAATTAGCCAGGCGTGGTGGCGCATGCCTATAGTCCGAGCTACTCGGGAGGCTGAGGTAGGAGGATTACTTGGCCCCAGGAGTTTGAGGTTGCAGTTAGTTATGATGATGCCACTGCACAATAGATGGGGCAATAGCACAAGACTCTGTCTTAAAAAAAAAAGAAAAAAATACAGCAAGCTTCACGATAAAAACCTCAATAAACCAGGCAGAGAAGGAATATACTTCAAAATAATAAAACTCATATATGACAAACCCACAGCCATCAACATAGTGAATGAGGTAAAGTTGAAGACCTTCCCCGTAAGAACTGGAGCAAGACAAGGATGCCCACTTTCACCACTTCTATTCAACACAGCACTGGAAGTCCTAGCTAGAGCAATCAGGCAAGGGAAAGAAATAAACGGCATCCAAATCAGGAAAGAAGTCAAACTATCCCTGTTTGTCAGTGAAATAATCTTATATCTAGAAAATCCTAAAGACTCTACCAAAAGACTCCTAGAATTGATAAATTCAGTAGAGTCTCAGGTTTCAAAATTAATGTACACAAATCAGTAGCATTTCTAAACACTAATAACAGCCAAGCTGAGAATCAAATCAAGAACTCAATACCATTTACAATAGCTGCAAAAAACAAAAACAAAACCCTAGGAACATACGTAACCAAGGAGATGAAAGATCTCTACAAGAAGAGCTACAAAACACTGATGAAAGAAATCGTAGCTGATACAAACAAATGGAAAAACATCCCATGCTCACGGATTGGAAGAATCAACATTGTTAAAATGTCCATATTGCCTAAAGTGATTTACAGATTCAATGCAATTCCCATCAAAACACCAATGTCACTTTTTACAGAATTAGAAAAAACAATCCTAAAGTTCATATGGAAGAAAAAAGAGCTTGAATATTCAAAGCAATCCTAACCAGAAAGAACAAACCTGGAGGCATCACATTACCCGACTTCAAATTATACTACAAGCCTATAGTAACCAAAATAGCATGATACTGGTATAAAAGCAGTTGCACAGATCAATGGAATAGCATAGAGAACCCAGGAATAAAACTATAAACCTATAATCAACTGATCTTTGACAAAGCAGGCAAAAACATACACTGGGGAAAGGACACCCCATTCAATAAATGGTGCTGGGAAAATTGGATAGCCACATGCAGAACAATGAAACTGGATCACTATCTCTCATCATATATAAAAATTAACTCAAAATGGATTAAAGACTTAAAA